TGAAAATAGGGAAGGATGAGGAAAAAAAACATGCATATTTAACAGAGGCCGAGGGAGACAAATATAAAGCCGAGATCCAAGCCAGAAATGCATCACCAAACCCCTATCTAGACAGCGTATATGTCAAATATTCCCAAGAAAGTGAATTGAACGCTTTATAAATGTCTAGGGATAAAAGGAACCCTGATATCTTGCGGCGATGTCAAATATGAATGAGATGGATGACTTTACGGATATTATCAGCAGCTTGTCACCCCGGAACGAAGCCAACCTGATCTCGATGAATAAGTGAGAGTAAATACTTATTAATTCGGGTGCTCAGAATCTTTGCCAGAATCTTCAAGTCCATGTTTAGCAGCGAGATCGGTCTGAAAGCTTGCGGTTCAAAGGCATCTTCAGCTTTCTTAGGGATCATAGAAATATGAGCCTGAAGAGACTCCAAAGAAAGCCGGGAACCCTGCTTCAAAGAATTGAAAAAGGCCGTCAAATGAGGAACCAGAACGGTGGCAAATTTTTTATAGTAGAGCCCAGAAAACCCATCTGGGCCTGGAGCCTTAGAGGCCTTCAAAGATTTGATGGCTCGGCAGAGTTCAGATTCAGAGATATCCGCATTCAGGGCATCTCGAGCTGCATCAGATAAAGAGGGTAGGTGTAGCTCAGCAAAAAATTCAGCATGTTCAGCGACAAAGGTGTTCGGTTTTTGGTAAAGAGAGGACAAAAAATCCACAAATCTATGAGTAATCTTCACAGGGTCCGAGGTAAGGCCACCGCTCCTCATGCGGAGTTGAACAGGTTTATGCTTGCATCCAAGTGAATTAAGTTTCTTGGCCAACATTGGCCACGGTTTATTGGCGCATGTATAAAACCTATGTCCGGCCCAACGTAAGGCCTTCTCAGCTCGTGTAGTGGAGAGAAGATCAAGTTCAGCAGCCACCACATCTCGAGCTTTCCTATTGGCCATAGTCGGGCAGGCTTTCCAAGTAGCGTCCACGGCGGCCAATCTCGAGGTCAATTCCAACATCCTCTTCTATCTGGCCCATTTCCTGGATGAGGCAATTTGAATCAAAGGACCCCTAATGGTGGCTTTGTGAGCCTCCCACAGAGAAACGGCCGAGGATACAGATCCCACATTGTCCGTAAAATAGGATTGAATGTGTGAAAGAACCTGGGAGCAAGAACCCTGAATGGTGAGCAGGGATTCATTGAGTCTCCACAGAAAAAAAGGGCAGAGCCATACCAAAAAGACACAGTGAAAAGACCAATGGGTCATGATCAGACCAGTGTGTGAGGTCGAGATGACAATCTTTTGAATTAAAGATAAATGTTGGAAGGAAATGAAAACATGATCTCTTCTACAAAAGCTCAAGTGTGAGGCCAAATAAAAAGTGTATTCCCGTGATGTAGGATTCATTTCCCGCCAGACATCAACCAAACCATAAACTTGCAGCATAGCATGCAATTTAGACTCCTGACTAGGGAGGCTAGGGGTCCCTCCCGTCGGGTAATGGCGATCGACAGAGGAATTAAGAGCAACATTCGAATAACCCAGCAATAAGAGGATATCTTGTTGGTGGTGCAAAATCACCTTCAGCAAGTGAGAAAAAAATTTGTGTTGAAATCTATTTGCTGCATAATAACCCACCAGGGTCACCTCCTGATCCCAAAGGGTACCCCAGAGGAGCAAATACCTACCGGTGGGGTCAGCTATTTCCAGGTTACAAGTAAATATCAGATTGCTTCTAAAAGCGATCACCATGCCCCTATGCTTCTCAAGGGCCGAGGCAGAGAAAAAGGTCGGATAATGGTGGGAGAGGTAGTGCAGCACGGAGGATTGAGAAAACCTTGTCTCCTGTAGGCAGACTACGTCCACGTCTTGGGACTTAAGAAGATGGAACACCTTAGAACGCTTGGTTGAAGAATTAAAACCATGGATATTTTGAGAAAAAATCTTCAAAGGTTTTAAAGCCATACCGAGTCAAGGGAATTCAGCTGCCAAAGTACGCTAGGAATAATGGTCCAATCCTCAAATGCAACCTTACCCTGGGCTGCCACGGATCCATGAGAAAAAAGAAAAAAAAACAAACAAAAAACAAGCGACAGAAGAAGAAAATGTACACTGTAAGGTAGTGTAACTGTGATGGAGTATAGGCAGGGACAGAACACACAGAGCAGATGATAAACACACAAAGCTTTATTGAAAAATGACAGTCACTCAATTGGGGTCTGAAGGTAGCGTCCGGGTACCCAAACAAGGGAAATAGAGGGTGGAGCCCGAAATAATTGTAATCCGGCCCACGATAGGGCAATTTGGGTAGCGATGGCCCGAGCAAGTATTAATCCAAGCGGGCAAGTCTGGCAAGGGTAATAGGGAAGTTCAATGGGGGCAATCCAGGCAGAAAAGGTATGAGTGTTCAATGGGGCCAGTCTAGGAAGGGAAAATAGGGAGATTCACAAACAGTCCAGGCAGGGCAAATAGGGAGAGTAAAGGGGGGTAGTTCAGACAAGAGGGTATAGGCACTCACGGTTTAGGCAGGAGTCATCTCTGGTGCACACAGCAGGCAGCAGGTAACGGTACTCCTTGGCACACAGCGGGTAACAGGCAGAGTACTTCTGGGCACACACGGTAGGTAGTTTCCAGGGGCAACCAGCAGACAATGTGCAGGAACACTCACAGTTTCAGGGGAGGCAGCAGCCCGTAGACAGCGGTCAACTTTCCAGGGACGGCAGCGATCAGCAGGCAGGGGGTAGCTTTCCAGGGACAAACAGCGGTCCGCAGACACAGAGGCAGCTTTCCAGGGACAAACAGCGGTCCGCTGAACAGGCAGGAGTAACTTCCCAGAGACACAGCAGCAGTAGGCAGGGGTGACTTCTTAGGCACACAGCAGCAGCCGGCAGGGGTAACTCCCAGGCACACAGCAAAGCACAGTTCCCTGCATCTTATAGTTAGGCTCAGCTAGGAGTGACTGACTGGCTTCCTCCCTCTCTAGCTCTCCCATTCAACCAGAGACCACATGGCCCTGCAATTGTCCCCACCCCCAACTTCCTGCTAAGAAGTGGCCTGGACAGGTTTCCCAGCCACACAGAGCCATGCTGTTCTATGCTGAGATACATCCCATTTCCCCTCCCCCCTGCGAGGCACAGAAACTTCAGACAACACAAAAAAAAGAAATATTTCTGCTGTCCGTCACAACTCCTCCCCCTTTTTCATAACATGTACCTGCACGAGGCTTTAACAGGCCTTGTGCATGGTACATGTAGCAGTTTCCCAGCAGAACCATCTAAGTGTCCATATAATGGCTTGTTATTTGGTGGTCAAGGGTGTACTGAAGCTCATTCCAGTAGGGCATCCTGTGGGCGTATGGAGATTGCTGGCCTACGGGCACATTTGAATCCCTGTAAGGATAACCTGGTGTCAGGAATGGACTCAGCACTGGTGGTGGGACTCACCTGCCGTGTGGGCTGCAGTACCAGGGCTGACCAGCGGGTGCTCTCAGCAACCAGAAGCTCACTCCTGCAGTTAGCCATCAGCTGAAGCTGATTGCAGGAGGTGTATTTAAGCAGGACCAGGCCTGCGATCAGGGCCTTGGTGTATGTTTCCCATGAGCCCCTGTACCTGGTATCCTGTGTTCCTGCCTATCTGCCTAGTTGCTGACCCTGCTTTGATCCTGGCCTCTGCTGACCGTCTCCTGTTGAACCCCTGGCTTGCCTGACCATCCTTCTGCCTGATCCTCTGTACCACGCTGCCCGTGAGTTACTGAACCCGGCTTGTGACACTGACTATTCTCTGCCTGCTCCTCCGGTACCTCACTGCCTGCACGTTGCTGACCTGGCCTGCCTGACTACGCCTGATGCTACCCAGATGATCCATCCATCCCGCACGGATCCAGTCACTACTGTCCAAACCTGCCAGCCCCTTCATATCAGGCTTTCCCCCGGTACATACCCTCGGCGGACCCCTCTACCACAGTTGGGTGCACTCAGGGGCCACGACCTGATCTCAGTCCTGCACCAAGTCCATCCCCACCATCAGGGGCTCTGGTGAAAAGGCAGACTGGGGCTTAGACTCCGCGCCCTGGGGAATCCTGGTCTGTGGGTCACTAGAGATCCCGCCGGGCGGTGCCTGACGGTACCTTACGGCCCGCCTGACCATTCCACCTCTCCAGCCCTGACTATGCCTGTGTTCCTGAAGCCTACTACTTCCCTGTGTCAGTCCACACATTTCTGGTCACACCCCGATCCCTGACATTACACCAAGGCCAGTCCTGACTAGAAGTGGCTTGCACAGGGAAGCCAACTTGGCTTATTGTTGTGAAGGATGCATCCTGAGGATGTTGTATATTTGTGTCTGCTAGTCTTTGATGACAGAGATTATGCCTATGAGACTCTGAAGGAGTATACGAGGGATCAGCTGCTAGAATGCATACGGATCGCTCATTTTCTAGTGGATCAGGGCACAGAGTTCTCTGAGGTGCAGCCAATGATTCAGGTTTGTGCAGAGTTGGCTTCGTCTGGTGCCCCTGAGGGCAGGGATGCCGCCATTTAGTGCAGACCAGGTAGAGTCCCTGGTATGGTTATTAGAGGATGATGTGGATTGCAGACATGGTCGGATTTGTTACATCCAGCCTCAGTCAGCTTGCAACAACCCAGTCCTGCTTCTAACCATTACTCTGCTCAAAGCTCTCTTTCTCCAGTTCCCACAGCACCCCCAGTGACAGCCCGGTATACCCTGCTATCAACCACATGTCAGAATCCTGTTACCACTCGTTGCACCTATCCTGCGTTTAAATCCTGTAAAGAAGCCCTCTGTAGCAACTGCTCCTTCCTCTGTTCCATCCTCCAGCTCTTCTCTGTCTGCAGCTGCTCCATCTGTTAACAGACCTGCGTTTACTTACAGTGCTCCAGTAACTAAAACCAGGAAGAAGCAAAAATTCTTTCCAACCAGTACCATCCTGCCAGTATCCAAACCAGTCAGCCTGCGGTCTGAGAATCCACCTTCTGTTCAGCCTGATGCCTGGATGCCTGATGACCCAGTGTACGCTACCCAGCCTGATGATCCTACCCGGCCTGAGGACCCGATCCAGCCAGATAACTCGTTGCCCGCTGTCGTGCCAGATGACTCGTTGCCTGCTGCTCTGCCAGATGACCCATTGCCCGCTGTTCTGCCAGATGACCCGGTGCCCGCGTTTCTGCTAGATGACTCGGTGCCTGCTGTTGTGCCAGATGACTCGGTGCCCGCTGTCGTGCCAGATGACTCGGTGCCTGCTGTCGTGCCAGATGACTTGGTGCCCGCTGTTCTGCCAGATGACTTGTTGCCCGCTGTTCTGCCAGATGACTCGTTGCCCGCTGTACTGCCAGATGACTCGTTGCCCGCTGTTGAGCTTGGTGACCCGGTGCCCGCTGTCGTGCCAGATGACTCGTTGCCCGCTGTCGTGCCAGATGACTCGTTGCCCGCTGTTCTGCCAGATGACTCGGTGCCCGCTGTTCTGCCAGATGACTCGTTGCCCGCTGTTCTGCCAGATGACTCATTGCCCGCTGTTGAGCTTGGTGACCCGGTGCCTGCTGTTGTGCCAGATGACTCGGTGCCCGCTGTCGTGCCAGATGACTCGGTGCCCGCTGTCGTGCCAGATGACTCGGTGCCTGCTGTCGTGCCAGATGACTCGGTGCCCGCTGTTCTGCCAGATGACTCGTTGCCCGCTGTTCTGCCAGATGACTCGTTGCCCGCTGTTGAGCTTGGTGACCCGTTGCCCGCTGTCGTGCCAGATGACTCGTTGCCCGCTGTCGTGCCAGATGACTCGTTGCCCGCTGTTCTGCCAGATGACTCGTTGCCCGCTGTTCCGCCAGATGACTCGTTGCCCGCTGTACTGCCAGATGACTCGTTGCCCGCTGTTGAGCTTGGTGACCCGGTGCCCGCTGTCGTGCCAGATGACTCGTTGCCCGCTGTCGCGCCAGATGACTCGTTGCCCGCTGTTCTGCCAGATGACTCGTTGCCCGCTGTTCTGCCAGATGACTCGTTGCCCGCTGTTCTGCCAGATGACTCGGTGCCCGCTGTTCTGCCAGGTGACTCGTTGCCCGCTGTTCTGCCAGATGACTCATTGCCTGCTGTTCTGCCAGATGACCCGTTGCCCGCTGTTCTGCCAGATGACTCGTTGCCCGCTGTACTGCCAGATGACTCGTTGAGCTTGGTGACCCGGTGCCCCCTGTTGTGCCAGATGACTCGGTGCCCGCTGTCGTGCCAGATGACTCGTTGCCCGCTGTTGAGCTTGGTGACCCGGCCCACATTTCTGCTAGATGACTCGGTGCCTGCTGTTGTGCCAGATGACTCGGTGCCCACTGTCGTGCCAGATGACTCGGTGCCTGCTGTCGTGCTAGATGACTCGGTGCCCGCTGTTCTGCCAGATGACTTGTTGCCCGCTGTTCTGCCAGATGACTCGTTGCCCGCTGTCGTGCCAGATGACTCGTTGCCCGCTGTTCTGCCAGATGACTCGTTGCCCGCTGTTCTGCCAGATGACTCGTTGCCCGCTGTACTGCCAGATGACTCGTTGCCCGCTGTTGAGCTTGATGACCCGGTGCCCGCTGTCGTGCCAGATGACTCGTTGCCCGCTGTCGTGCCAGATGACTCGTTGCCCGCTGTACTGCCAGATGACTCGTTGAGCTTGGTGACCCGGTGCCCCCTGTTGTGCCAGATGACTTGGTGCCCGCTGTCGTGCCAGATGACCCGTTGCCCGCTGTTGTGCCAGATGACTCGTTGCCCGCTGTCGTGCCAGATGACTCGTTGCCCGCTGTTCTGCCAGATGACTCGTTGCCCGCTGTTCTGCCAGAGGACTCGGTGCCCGCTGTTCTGCCAGAGGACTCGTTGCCCGCTGTGCTGCTAGATGACTCATTGCCCACTGTTCTGCCAGATGACTTGTTGCCCGCTGTTGAGCTTGGTGACCCGGTGCCCGCTGTTGTGCCAGATGACTCGGTGCCCGCTGTCATGCCAGATGACTCAATGCCCGCTGTCGTGCCAGATGACTCGATGCCCGCTGTCGTGCCAGATGACCCGTGCCCGCTGTCGTGCCAGATGACTCGGTGCCCGCTGTCGTGCCAGATGACTCGGTGCCCGCTGTAGAGCTTGGTGACCCGGTGCCTGCGGTTCTGCCAGATGACTCGGTGTCCGCTCTCGTGCCAGATGACTCGGTGTCCGCTCTCGTGCCAGATGACTCAGTGCCCGCGGTCGAGCTTGGTAACCCAATGCCCGCGGTTCTGCTTGATGGCTCGGTGCCTGCTGTCGTGCCAGATGACTCGGTGCCCGCTGACGTGCCTGATGACTCGGTGCCTGCTGACGTGCCTGATGACTCGGTGCTCGCTGACGTGCCAGATGACTCGGTGCCCGCTGTCGTGCCAGATGACTCAGTGCCCGCTGTCGTGCCTCTGTCTGCTGCCCAGCCTGACGTGCCTCCGTCCGCTGCCCAGCTTGACGTGCCAGCCTCTGATGTCCAGCTAAACTGGCCAATAACTGGTTCCCAGCCTGCTCCTGGAGATACTGTGTCCAGTAACCTGCCTTCCTGGGTTCTCCTACACAAAGAGAAGTCTACCAGCAGGAAACCCAGCCAGCCGGTTGACTCCGGCAGTAGGATATTCAGCCAGTTACCTGACCCGGGCGGTGGAACATTTTGGTCACTTAGGACTGTTTGGAGCGCCCTGAGGCCGCTCCTTGAGGGGGGGGGGGGTACTGTCAGGAATGGACTCAGCACTGGTGGTGGGACTCACCTGCCGTGTGGGCTGCAGTACCAGGGCTGACCAGCGGGTGCTTTCAGCAACCAGAAGCTCACTCCTGCAGTCAGCCATCAGCTGAAGCTGATTGCAGGAGGTGTATTTAAGTAAGACCAGGCCTGCGATCAGGGCCTTGGTGTATGTTTCCCATGAGCCCCTGTACCTGGTATCCTGTGTTCCTGCCTATCTGCCTAGTTGCTGACCCTGCTTTGATCCTGGCCTCTGCTGACCGTCTCCTGTTGAACCCCTGGCTTGCCTGACCATCCTTCTGCCTGATCCTCTGTACCGCGCTGCCCGTGAGTTACTGAACCCGGCTTGTGACCCTGACTATTCTCTGCCTGCTCCTCCGGTACCTCACTGCCCGCACGTTGCTGACCTGGCCTGCCTGACTACGCCTGACACTACCTAGACGATCCATCCATCCCTCACGGATCCAGTCACTACTTTCCAAACCTGCCAGCCCCTTCACATCAGGCTTTCCCCCCGGTACATACCCTCGGCGGACCCCTCTACCACAGTTGGGTGCACTCAGGGGCCGCGACCTGGTCTCAGTCCTGCGCCAAGTCCATCCCCACCATCAGGGGCTCTGGTGAAAAGGCAAACTGGGGCTTAGACTCCACGCCCTGGGGAATCCTGGTCTGTGGGTCACTAGAGATCCCGCCGGGCGGTGCCTGACAGTACCTTACGGCCCGCCTGACCATTCCACCTCTCCAGCCCTGACTACGCCTGTGTTCCTGAAGCCTGCTACTTCCCTGTGTCAGTCCACACATTTCTGGTCACACCCCGATCCCTGACACCTGGTCTACTGACATTATCTCTCCACCAAAGTGAAGCTGTGGGGTTCTTCCTATGTCTCCTGGGACAATCGGCCTGCATGTGGCCCCTCTGTTTGCAAGTGTGACATTGGGGCTGGTGTGCCCTTCTGGTATCCCTTCACCTGTTTTGAGGACCGCGGGAGGCTCCCTGAAACATGGGGCTTTTGGCAGGGGTTACATGAGGCCTTACATAGTTAACAGGATAGGTCCTTGATAAATGTGGGTCTGGCCTTAATTCTGTTCTAATCTCTTGATCCACTCCCAGAGAGTGGCTCTGGGTCTCACTCCCCAGGAATTGGCAATCAAGTTCTCCAAGATCATTCCCAGCAGAATGTTGGCCGGTAGGCCTGGCATTACCCCAACCGAAGAAAGTTTTTCCCCAAAACCGTAATCTAGCTGAACTATAGCCCCCGGGATATGTTTCCTGGCACCCCTCCCTAGCTCAATAGAAAAGCCAGGGTCTTTTTTGATCACCGCAGGATCCAATACACAGGGATCAAGAAGTGTCAGGAACGTACCTGTGTCACGGAAACCAATAACCTTTCTGCCATCTATGCTAAGAAGTGGCCTGGACTGGTTTCCCAGCCACACAGAGCCATGCTGTCTTTGTTCTATGCTGAGATACATCCCATTTCCCCTCCCCCCTGCGAGGCACAGGAACTTCAGACAACACAAAAAAAAAGAATATTTCTGCTGTCCGTCACGTCACAGTAATGAAACCACACTCAGTGAAAATTGCGACACACATAGGGAGTGGCTCTACCACCGGGGAATATGGGTGCATCATAAACAACACAATACAAAAAGAACCTTCATGGGGAGGGGAAGGAAGGGGGAAGGGGAAGAAATAGGAAAGAGAAAAAGGGAAGGGAAGGGAAGGGAAGAGGAAAAAAAATAAAGAAAAAAGGGGGGGGGGAACAAAACAGGCAAAAATACAACATCAAGTACATTACCTTAATAATGCATTATATGACACCATAATATATAAAGAAAATGTAAACAGGTACACAGACATATCAGCAAAATAGATATGAGGCATTCCCGAGTCATGGCCCGTTAGATCGGAAGCCGGCACCAATCATATAAGGCAGGGGTCCTCAAACTTTTTAAACAGGCTGTTGGAGGGCCGGACTTTAGTTTAAAAAAAAAAAAAACTATGGTCATCTCCTGTACTGTGTCCGCATTTGTTCAGAGACTGCGGACATACAATGGCAGTGGGAATACTGGGCTGGCCGCTCTATAAGACGCATAGACATTTCCCCCCCAAGTGTGTCTTATGGAGCGAAATAGTGCCCCATCATTGGTGTCAGTGGGAGGCATAGTGCCCCACCATTGGTGTCAGTGGGAAGAATAGTGTCCCATCATTGGTGTCAGTGGGGGGAATAGTGCCCCACCATTGGTGTCAGTGGGAAGAATAGTGCCGCATCACTGGTGTCAGTGGGAGGAATAGTGCCCCATCATTGGTGTCAGTGGGAGGAATAGTGCCCCATCATTGGTGTCAGTGTGAGGAATAGTGTCCCATCATTGGTGTCAGTGGGAGGAATAGTGTCCCATCATTGGTGTCAGTGGGAGGAATAGTACGTCATTGGTGCCAGTGGGGGGGGGTGGAATAGTGCCTCATCGTTGGTGTCAGTGGGGGGAAGAATAGTGCCCTATCATTGGTATCAGTGGGAGGAATAGTGCCCATCATTGGTGTCAGTGGGAAGAATCGTGCCCCATCATTGGTGTCATTGGGAGGAATGGTGCCCCATCATTGGTGTCAGTGTGAGGACTAGTGCCCCATCATTGGTGTCAGTGTGAGGAATAGTGTCTCATCATTGGTGTCAGTGGGAGGAATAGTGCCACATCATTGGTATCAGTGAGAGGAATAGTGCCCCATCATTGGTATCAGTGAGAGGAATAGTGCCCCATCATTGGTATCAGCGAGAGGAATAGTGTCCAGTCATTGGTATCAGCGGGAGGAATAGTGCCCCATCATTGGTGTCATTGGGAGGAATAGTGCCCCATCATTGGTGTCAGTGGGAGGAATAGTGTCCCATCATTGGTGTCAGTGGGAGGAATAGTACGTCATTGGTGCCAGTGGGGGGGTTGGAATAGTGCCCCATCGTTGGTGTCAATGGGGGGAGGAATAGTGCCCCATCACTGGTGTCAGTGGGGAATAGTGCCCCATCACTGGTGTCAGTGAGAGTAATAGTGCCCCATCATTGGTATCAGTGGGGAGGAGGAATAGTGCCCCATCGTTGGTGTCAGTGGGGGGAATAGTGCCCCATCATTGGTGTCAGTGGGGGGGGGGGAGGAATAGTGTCCCATCATTGGTGTCAGTGGGAGGAATAATGCCCCATGATTATTATCAGTGACACCAATGATGGGGCACTATTCCTCCCACTGACAGCAATAACACTTAACTAGCCAACCCCTGTTCCAGCATGGTGCTGCTGCAGCCAGCATACCTGGTTGCAGCAGTACCATCTGCACGGCACACTTACCGGGCGGTCAGCTGTCCTCCTTCCTTCACTTCGGCCTCTCCCTCTCTTGATTTTCGTGGGGCCGCTCGGCTCCGCCTCCTCGCCGGTGATTGGCCACCTGTGTGCCTTTCCTGAGCTACAGTATTGGTGCCCAATCACCGGTGAGGAGGCGGAGCCGAGCGGCAGCGCGGACATCGAGTGAGGGAAGGAGTGAAGGAGCTGCGCATCCTGGACTGGATCGTCGTGGGACTGGAGCCAGGTAAGAGACAGCAGCCCCCTGCCCGCCCCTGTACTTAGTGTCCCCTGCCAGCGGGCCGGATGAATGTGCTCGGCGGGCCGCAGTTTGAGGACCCCTGATATAAGGCATAGGACTATGAGCCAGGGAGGCCCCCGGTATATATAAAGAGGTACAATAACACCCCCCCCCAAAAAAAAAACCCCAAGGAGCTGGCGGGAGCCGGAGATCCACATAACCAAAATCCATGTATAACAAAAAAATTAGTGGAAAAAAAAAAAAGAAAAATTCAACTTAAAATTGGACTGCGAGGATCACCACCAGTACAGACCAGTATTGCATAGTAGAATATTTCAAACTGTAAAACTAAAAATAAGCAACATCAAAAACATACGAAAAGTTCGCCCAACTAGGGCCGTCAAGGTCTCCGCCCCATCAGAAACGCAGAGAGTCACGGCAGGGGATCAAGCCATCTGAAAAGTGAAAAATATTACCCACCCAACCGTACTTAACCTGGATCGGAGCGGGAGGATCCGGACAATGGAGGGGTACTAGGGAGGGAGCGTTTATGGCTACCAACTTTCTCCCATATAAGCCCCAGCTGAGATGAAGGAGGATGGAAACCGGAGGGCCGCACTGGGCTGTCAGAGGTATCCCGCGAGAGCAGAAGGTGTAGCGCCTCCAGGGTCGACTTGGCCTCTTCCGGATTGTGGACAACATGGCTCCGACCTTGGTACGCGAACGTAAGCTTAAATGGAATGATCCATTGGTACTTGATGTGACGGTTCAGGAGGACTGACGTGAAGGGTTTCATCTGTCGACGTTTCTGGATGGTGGATGGTGCCAGATCCGCGAACAGCTGGTACAGATGACTTTGAAAGCGAAGATCCTGCTTGTCTCGCGCAGAGCAATGAAGCGATTCTTTAGTACGGTAGTAGGTGAATTTAATTATGATGTCCCTAGGAAGACCCTCAGACCTCCTCGGACCCAGGGCCCGGTGAATGCGATCGAACTCCAGACGGTCTATCGGTATCACCGGATCCAGATCTTGAAAAAGCGTGGTAGCAGTGGACGTGAGGTCAACGATGGCTTCGGGCAGGCCACTCAGGCGAAGACTACCCCGATGGGATCTATTCTCAAAATCTTCCAAGCGCAAGAGAGCCGCATCAAGCTCTCTTCTCAGATCTGAAAGGTCCTGTTCATGATTTTCGATCACCGTAGCTGCGGCATCCATCTTATCTTCAAGAACATCAGTGCGGCTTCCCAATTCGCAAATTTCCTTGGTGAGATGATTCGCTAGTCTGGAGGTGGCAATATGAAGCTCCTGCTGCAGCATGGCCTTAAACCTGGCAGGAGGTCTG